TTACGTGAAAAGTAGCATCATCGTATATATTCTTAAGGAGGGCAGCTTTTCTTGAATTTACTCTGGCGTCGTCCAATGCTGTTAAGAAAGCCCATTTCTCGATACTGTCGAATGCTTTGTGATAATCGACAAATGCCAGATGTAGTGGTGTGTTGTACTCTATTGTTTTTTCAATAATGGTCCGAATTGTTTGCAAGTGATCGATAGTGCTAAAACCCTTACCAAAGCCTGCTTGCTCCACTGGTTGGTATGCATCTAGTTTAGCTGTCAATCTATTTGTTATTATTCGGGTTAGTAGTTTGTAAAGGTGTGACAATAAGCTTATTGGTCGGTAGTTTTCTATATTTGCGGCGTCCCCTTTTTTATGGAGTAGAATGACTTCGGCATTTTTCCATGTCTTCGGTATTTGTCCTTCCAATAGGCATTTATTAAGTAATGCTCTTATTGCCTCTTCTAATGCAGTGCCTCCCATTTTTAGCATCTCTGAAGTAATTTTATCTTCTCCTGGTGTTTTCCCATTTTTCATTTGTTTTTGGGCGGCTCTAATTTCTGATGTTATTATTTCAGGGAAATCCTCTGAGCCCACATTTAAGATATGTTTTGTTGGTATACCGGGGTTCGGAATAGTAGAAGTATACAGCTTCTCATAAAATTTTCGGATTTCTCTAACGATCTCTTCCTTATGCGAGCACAATGTTCCACGGTCGTCTTTTATTTTTATGATTTTATTCCTGCCAGTGGATTTACATGTTTTTAGTACTTTCATGTTCTTATTGTTTGCTATGGTTTCAAGAATCTGGTTTGTTCTATAAACTCTGAGGTCTTTTCGAATATTTTTCTTAACGCTTCTGTTCGCTTCTGTTATATTATGATGTGTTATATTATGTTATGATTATGGTGGAGACGCTATAATTTCGAACTTTACCGCCTTTATGACAAGCCTGATATTATTAGGTCCATCAAAATAAACTTTCTGCAGTGGTTAGGTCACATAGAGAGAATGAATGAGATGGAGTCGCCAAAACATATTTATAACCAAAGCATAGATGGAGGAAGACTTAATAATGTTGGGAGTACGAACTTGGAAAGCCAATGCGAAGACTAGGAGAGAGTGGAGACTTATCCTTGAGCAGGCGAAGACCCACCATGGGTTGTGGAGCCAATGATGATGAGGCTGTGAAAATTAATTGTCTTTCTATTGGAAGTGTAGTCACCTAATAGCTTAACATTGACAGTGAGCCTTTTTTACATCATTGAATATGATATACCCTCTTAGACAAGGCAAGAAGTTCGAGTTTGTTCGGAAAAATATTTTTTTGCGTAATCATTTTCATGTGATACCCCATAATAAGGTTTAAAAGGTCACTTAGGCGAAAAGTTCAAAAGTTCAAACAAATTTTTGTAACAATCAATTTTTTTGGAATTACAGTTTTATCCGACAACTATGTCACTGAAAATGGTGTACCCCAAGGTTTTACTGTGACTTGTACCCTCTTTCTACTAGCCATCAATGATATTTATATTTGCTCTCGTATAAAATCTCCCGTTAAATTGGCCCCATACGCAGACGACCTTATTGAATACTGCCAAGGAAAATCCACAGCTGCAACCTTATCTGTATTACAAAATTCTGTCGAACCCTTACTACATGGTCCGACAAAACTGGCTTCAGGTCCTCTTCCAATAAATCCAAAATAATTAAATTCACCAGCAGATCCAACAGCGCAGAAATACCCAAAATAACATGAAACGTAGTAAATTTATAGTTAATTGAGCATTACAAGTTTTTAGGACTAACTGTCGATAACAAACTCACCTGGCGTCGTCATATCGATGAAATAAAAGGCAACTGTTCAAGCAGAATGAATTTGTCCCATCATCAATAGGGTACCCATGAAAGTGTACAACTCTGTGTAATTACTTTAAAATGCCACAAGAAAATAGCTTCAGAGCAATATAAATAGACTATGGTTGTATAGTTTATTTGTCCGCATCCAATAATTTATTACAATCGTTAAACTCTGTTCACAACACTGCATTATTTTTAATTGACGGGACGGGCGCTTGGGCTGCGATGTGTTTAAGAGAGAGAAACAAGATCTAGGGCACAATTTTTTGCTGGTTTAAATTACAAATTAGCGCCCGCCCTGCCATACGCGCTTTATTATTAATTAAAAAACAATGGTTTAATAGTTATTTATGAAGGGTGTTATTAAGATGATTGCACCTAGAAAGCAACATAATCCAGCCAGAGGGCCTCTGACCCGAGGATCCTTATTTTGGAGTATCTCATGAAAGTGATTATGCAAAAAAATCTCATGGAAATATTTTTCCGAACGAACTCAAGATTTTCGTCTTGTCTTTCTGTTTACTTAAAAAATGCAACTAATTAAACATATTCTTCGATAAGTATTTGAGTCGTAATAAGTGATATAATTAATAACCTTGGCTTTTTACATGTTTTCTAACTTATTGTTAACTTGGCTATTACTGATAAAATAAATAGGCCTGCAATTATAATAAAGTTAAAAAATATTCAAGTAATATAATATATTGTTGTTCTAAGGAAGTAGTTGTCAAGATTGGCAATCTTTTTTATAACAGGTATTGCGAAAATATTACACTAAAGTAAACATCGAAAAATTAAAAACGTTTTGAAAATAAGAATAAATTACTATCATCATCAGTTGGCGCTACAGCCCTTCGTGAGCCTTGGCCTGCTTCAAAACATTCTTCCATCCTTCCCTATCGAGTGTCTGTCTTCTCCAGCCCCTCACTCCAATCTCCCTCAGATCTTCCTGTACATCGTCCAGATATCTGAGTTTAGGTCGCCCCCTTCTTCTTCTTACGACCGGCCTGTTTAGCATAGTTATTTTAGTGGGATCACTCTCATCCATCCGCATAACGTGGCCCACCCACCTTAGGCGGTTTATTTTGATGGTCTTCACCAGATCTGCATCACCAAAAAGTCTATAGAGTTCAAAGTTATATCGCCTTCACCACAGACCCTGTTCGTTTACTCCGCAAAATATGGTCCTCAATACTTTTCTTTCAAAGACTCGTAGTAACTCTTCATCTCGGGTCGTCATTGTCCATGTTTGCGATCCGTATGTGAGCACTGGGCGTATTATTGTTTTATAAAAATTGCACTTTGTTGCTATTGACATACTTCTCGCTCTTAGTTGAGGGCCCAGGTCGAAATAACAGCGGTTATTTCGGTTACATCTGTAATTGTAAGCATTTATTCTTGTAAGACTTCATTCGTCATTCGTCCTTAAATTCTTTCTTTTGTTTTGGTGATTCCGCGTCTTTATCACTACTTTACATTTTCAACACCTAATTACTTAATCAATCACACTAAATAAGCCACACAATTCAAACTAATACGACACACAATAACCTCTAAAACAACAAAAGCTAGAATGAATAACAAAACAAAAACTCGTACCAGCTGCACTGTGCTCGAGACTGACATTCCTTGTTACTTGCAATTCCGCTCGGACATTTCTGGTTCTTAGCAAGTATAATAAAAGTTTATGGTCAGCTTTCAACTGACATCGCCTACCGATAACTTGTGCATCACAAACCTTCCCAAACTAGCTTCTGTCAGATGGCATTATTACTTTGATTTGAGCATGGACGTATAAACATAGATGGACACAGCAATAAGATACCTTTAACACACAATGTTTTGAAGCTTCGATAGAATGTTCCGCAATGAGCATAAGCGTGCTTGAATTTTTACTCGCCTGTAATTATTCAAATTTTAAAAATTGGAAGTAGTAATAACGTATAAAAACACGTTCAAAGAATTAAAAAAAAAACGAGAGTTTAACTATTAACAAATCACGTCTTTATAGAAAAATTAAAATACAATTTTATTTGCTTTAAAATTAATACAATTAAATATTTTCAAGTTAATTTTTTAATAGGTATCAAAATAATGCTACAATAAAAAATCTTTATGTTTTCTCCTAAATTTGCTACCCAAATAGTTCGATTGTCGATATTATTTGGAAACCTACATAGAAAAATAAATGAGTTTTATTCATTTCACTAATTTATTTGTATCCATGAGAAATATTAAATTAAAAAGGTACTAAACAGATCTTTTTTAATCAGATGATGTCTGCTTACAATTTAAAAATGTCTATTAATTTCATGAACTTATATCTTATTCAATACATTAATGAACATGAATAAACCCAATGGTACGCCTATTAAAATGTAGACAAACACGCTTCCTCATTTCCTCATCTTAAATAATGTAAATTGTATGTACTTACAAATGAAATGAGAGATCGGGATGTAAATATTTCGTTTATTTTATTTCACTTTTCACAAATATCACTCAAAATACAGCCAAAATATCGAAAAACAACTTTTACTAAAAAGTAAACAAACATGGAACAGCATTTGAAGTTTGACATAAATCCATAAGATAGAGAAATGTAAACAACCGTTGCCATTTATAAATAGTTTTCAGTGCTTCTACATATAAAATGATTGATATCTATTATACGCTATTATTAAATGATAATGCACACTATGTGCACACTTTATATTTTGATTACAATTAAATATATTAATCTAACCAATAAATTATTATTTTGGTTTGATAGCACCTGTAGAGTATAAAATACGGAGTAATATTTTCAGCGACTCGCGAATAAGAAATTTTAAAACAAAACGTGACAACAGTTGAAGGTGCTGAGAATGTGACCTATTCAAATAATTTTTGACTTCACAATTTTATGTAAATACATAACTGAGTCCATATGTGTTTATACGTCCTTGGATTTGAGACAAAAATGTACATTCCTTGTTTTCCCTCGGGGTCTTCATTTTATGTATTGTGTTAATATAATGGCTGTAAACGAGAAGGAAATGACAAAAATAACCCTTGAAAAGGAATAAACAATTCTTTCAAAAATTCTCTTAATTTGTCGAAATATTTATAACCTCTTGGGAGATCTAAAGATGTCATTTTTTTATTCTAGGTTGGACCGCCTCTTTGTGCTGCTGGAGACCGGTAGTTCATCGGTTACACGTTCTGCAGCAGCAAAACAGTTAGGAGAAGTGCAACGATTGCATCCGCACGAATTGAAGACGCTACTGTCCAGAACTGCTACCTACTTGAGATCATCTTCCTGGGAAACTCGAATAGCTGCTTCAGAAGCGATTAGACACATCGTAGCCAATGTACCACAATGGAATCCACAAGGAGTCGATATAAAAGAAGGTAGGAAAATATTGCCTACGTAGTCTATTGAATATATGTAGATCTATGTTGTTTCTAGATCTTTGCGCCAGGTTCTCGTCGCACGACGTTTTTCAGCAATGAGTTGGCGAATGTGCAGGAAAACATTTGTGGTATTTGCGTTCAGTTCGTGGTGTAGATTGCCATGCCGCTTTTTGCACAAGTGTGGTGAAATATTAAGCTACTGTATCTATGTCATGTGCAGATTTGATCCTCAGATTAAAATTGGTGTTTTATTCTAGGTAGGATTGAAAATTTCTCCAGTTGGTATTTTTTGACGTGAGTCGAAGAGGTGGTAGGTTGTTTATATCTGTGGTACTCAGTCTCATAATAACCGGTGTACGATCTGATTAAAGATCATAGCTGGGTTCTATTAGACAGTTGTTTCTAGGTACTCTTTTGCTTATGTAGTAGTCCAGTAGATCTGAAAGTTTTCTGGGGTCACTCGGCCAGTACGTAGGTATTGCGTTGGTGTGGCAATCATAGTTGTTGTCGGTCATTTTGCTTTTAGAAGATTATGATCTTTTGTTTGTTATGAGTCTTGAGCCCCAGTGTGTGTGTTTCGCATTCTAGTTTCCTCCGGCTACGAATTTACTGTTAAGTAATTGGAAGAATGCTTTGTATTTATCTGTGGAGATTGCATGACGAGGTGGGCTATAAATTGCAGATATGTTAAAGTGCCATGGCGTTGCAGCCACTTGAACGATTGCTGCTTGTATTTTTTCTGTTGCATATTTCGGCAATACATGATGTGATGATATGCAGCTGCGGATGATTACCACCCAGCCACCATAAGGTGTACCATCGGGATGAGGTGTGCTGTATGTGGGAAATAGATCGATGAGAGTTAATATTACATAGACATTAAGACACTTTTTATTTAATACTGTAAATACTTTATATGACTTACTATTGTTATTTAACGTACCTTTAATTTTGCAAATTTCTTATTGTGTTATTTAGAGGAAGATGGACAGTCTCCGTCACTATCTACAATCGGAAGACTACGTTTTAGTCAGTTTAGTATGCCAACTGTACTAGCAAATAGTACGCATCTGATGGCATCAGAGGGAAAAGAATTCGACTTGAATGACGATCCAACAATAGGTAAGTATTGTTTTCACCAGCTGTGCATATTATACTTGTATTATAATGGTCATTATTGGGCCTATTTTGTACTTGTTTCTTTGTAGATTCCAAAGAAAAAATGGCGAAACAACGGCAACAGCTGAACGCTAGATTAGGACTGAATATGGCCGCACAAATGGGGTTTGATACGTCAAATCTGTTTACCAATGAAGATCTGATCGATAATTCTGATAAAATGAGTAGTGTTAGTGTTAGGGTAAGCAAATCATTATATATATTTTTGTTGTCCTCACTATTTTCTTTGCTGTCATCTGTAGTAGTTGATAAAGGTTGAAAACATTCACGAAGAACTTAGCGATCTTTTGATATCTGGAATTGTTTCTGGACCCGCTAATTTACGGTGAGCCTGAAGTAATCCCTGGGCACTCCCTGCTTTCAGTTGTAATTTTGGACATATTGAGAATATTGCATTTCTAGGCAAATCTGACAGTTATCAGATCAAAATAAAAGATTTCTTTAACATGTTAGCAGCAACTGTCTTTTAGACATGAAGTATTTTGGAATTTATTAAAGGAACCTGTAATAAAGGTAGCTGTCATAATACGGTTCAATACTGACATTCGAGAGGTCATAGATTAACATAGGGAAATAACGATGAAGTTTCAACAGTCAATGAGGCAGTTTGGAGAATCTCTTCATTTTCCATATCCAAACGGCATCTCACTGTAGTTAATTTAGCTGTTCACGGGAACAGCTCATAACCGCAAAGCGACTCTCCCCTACAACTTCACCGACCTCTATCGCAACCAACTCGCTGAGAATGGAAAACACTCCTTCAGAGTAATATAATCAAGAACTTAAAGGACATGGAGAGATTTTTGTTCTTTGATTTTTCCTATCTCATTGAACAACGATGCCTGCCCTAGGTGAGCTTATAGCCACAGCTATGCTCTCCGTGTTTACTAAAGAAGGTCAAAAAATTCATAAAAGGACAGTTTTCTTTTGTCGTATTCCTAGAAGAGACACATCAGTACAACTTCTCCGAGATAAGCAAAAAACTGCCATTTACAGATCATTTTACCAATATAATCCACTTAAGGATCCCACGCTTTGAAGATTATTTAAGACGACTAAATTAAACGACTCATTTTAACAGTCACTTCCATTTTCATTTCCAATAAAGAGTACATCAACCAACATCGTTGATATCGAGACTACTAATGAAGTCATTTCACCATCCAGAACATGCTTGGAAAAGATATTCAGATGAAATCTGTTATAGCCTTTGTGTTACATCGGATCAGTCTGGAAATTTACATTTAGAATCTGCTGATTTCTATCATGTGGGGAATTAATATACAGTGAACGGCCAAATTATGGAATATTATCATTATTTCGAGAACCGTCGAGTTTTGCGAGAAATCCCGAAACAGATCGATTTTTGTTATAAACCCATCTTATAACGTACATTGAGTAGGGATGACGTCACCGGTGTAGTTGTAGTGACGTAATCGTTAATTGTTTTAAATAGAAATCGGTATAATGCGACAGCTCATTTAAAAGAAAATTTAATTCTCTATTTAACTACATTACATTTTTAACTAAAATATTTTTTAAGGGTACAAAAACAATTGTTTTTAATTTAAATTCAACTAAATTACAACTAATGATATAATTAATAATGTACTTTAAAGTAACCAAATTATGCATAACAATTATTTTAAATTAAATGTTCGAAATGCCATCCATCGGTTTCTTGACAATATGCGAATCTACGGACACATTCATCAAGTACATTGCGGATTACTTCTGGAGTAATTAGACTCATTTCATGACTAATTCTATCTTTCAAGTCCTGTAAGTTTTGGGGTCTATTGACATAAAATTTTGATTTTATGCAACCCCACAGGAAAAAGTCTAGAGGTGTTAGATCTGGCGACCTTGCTGGCCACTCTATAAAACCTCGTCTCCCGATCCACCTCCTGGGAAAGAATTGATTTAAAAATTGACGTACTTCACGTGCATAATGCGAAGGGGCTCCATATTGTTGAAAGCAGATATTTTCACTAGGTAAATTTGGATTATTGGCATTTGCATACATGTTAGCAAGGAGAGGTATAAGTTGATTTCTCAAAAAAATTAAATAACGTTCTCCTGTTAGATTTTCGAACACAGAACGAGATATGCAATTTATTCAACGCAAAATATCCAGACAGACACATCAGTCAATCAACAGTAAGTAAAATAGTCCGAAAATTTGGAGAAACTGGGCACATTACTATGATACTAAGAACAGCTCAAGATAAAGAGCAATTTGCTGTAGTTATAGCCAACCTTCAGTAATGGAGAAGGCACCTTAAGAAGAAGAAGGGCACATTAAACATATTCCAAACGCTGGGCTGCCTAAAATCGAAGACAATGACGAGGATCCCGATCGCTGGCTTCAATTTTCTGAAATTATACAGGATTTATGTATCCGCAATTCACATTTCATCAATCAAATTCTTTTTTCCGATGAAGCCACATTTTTTATATATGGTACCGTGAATCGTCAAAATTGCAGATGTTAGAGTCAAGAAACCCCACATTGGATGACTGAGTCACACACGCAATATCCTAAGAAAGTAAATGTATGGGCAGGAATCATTAATGACAGAACTATTGGCCCTTTTTTCTTTGAAGAAAATATAACGAGAGAACGTTATTTAACTTTTTTGAAATATCAACTTATACCTCTCCTTGCTAACATGTATACAAATACCAATAATCCAACTTTACCTAGTGAAAATATCTGGTTTCAACAAGATCGAGCCCCTTCGCATTATGCACGTGAAGTACGTGTATTTTTAAATCAATGCTTTCCTAGGAGGTGGATCGGAAGACGAGGTTTTATAGAGTGGCCAGCAAGGTCGCCCGATCGAAAACCTCTAGACTTTTTCCTGTGGGGTTACATAAAATGAAAAGTTTATGTCAATAGACCCCAAAACTTACAGTTCTTGAAAGATGAATTAGGCATGAAATAAGTCTAATTACTCCAGAAGTCATCCGAAATGTACTTGATGAATGTGTCCGTAGATTCGCATATTGTCAAGAAACCGATGGATGGCATTTCGAACATTTAATTTAAATAATAATTGTTATGCATAATTTAGTTACTTTAAAGTACATTATTAATTAAATCATTAGTTGTAATTTAGTTGAATTGAAATTAAAAAAACATTGTTTTTGTACCCTTTAAAAATATTTTAGTTAAAAATGTAATGTAGTTTAATAGAGAATTAAATTCTCGTTTAAATGAGGTGTCGCATTATACCAACTTCTATTTAAAAAAATTAACGATTACGTCACTACACCTACACCGGTGACGTCATCCCTACTTCATGTACATTTTAAGATGGGTATTTTATAACAAAAATCGATGTTTTCGGATTTCCCTCAAAACTCGACGGTTCTAGAAGTAATGATAATATTCCATAATTTAGCCGTTCACTGTATATTGTTCTCAATGCATTAGTTTTAAAATTTGGTTTGGAATTTAATTTTAATTGTACCCTTTTGTAGAAAAATGTTCAAGAAGTGATTTGTCCGATAAACACAGAACTGAGCCTGAGAGAAATAAATAGAGCTAAGCGGAAAGCCAGGCAGGCTGTGAATAAACAAAGATCTAGAGATAACTTAGATGAAAATAGCTCCGAAGAACCCGAAAAGAAGAAACCCAAGACTGAATTGAAAGAGGAATATACCGGTCACTTTGGTAAGATTCTTTGTACGTATGTATCTCTTTTTAGTATTAATGTATTTTGATTTTAGATGTTGAACTAGGAGACGCCGGCGACTGGCCGCTGGAATGGTTCTGTGATCAGTTAAGTCAAGACTTATTTAGTTGTAGTTGGGAAACTCGTCATGGGGCAGCTACGGCTCTACGAGAGGTTCTGTCTGTACACGGATCTGGAGCAGGAAAGGCAACGTATTTGTCATCCAATCAGGTAAGTCCACTGCTTTTTTATAGGTTTATAAATAAGTATTTAAATAAAATATACTTTCGACATATGACGCTTGATGACGGTATTTGACAGGTAGACATGTAACAGATGACGTACTATGTGACATTTGACAGATTTCTTGTAGCGTGTGTGACAAATGTAGACACGTAGATAGTATGTAACACTAACTTAGTCCTCTATTAACATTATTTTATGTTTGGTTTACTTGAAACTAAATAAAAATATTATATGGTAGTTTTTATTGACAAAAGCGTAATTATTTTTAGATGGAACTGTGCCACCAAATTTGGCTAGAAGATATGGCAATAAGACTGTTATGCGTTTTGGCTCTAGATAGATTCGGAGACTTCGTATCTGACGCTGTGATCGCTCCGGTTAGAGAAACGTGTGCGCAATCGTTATGCGCAGTCATGAAACTGATGGCGTCTCAATCATGCTACGAGGTTTTAAAGATACTTCTGCAGCTTATGGACCATGCAGAATGGGAGGCTAGACATGGAGGTCTTTTAGGGTAGGTAGTTTTTATAATTATTTCTATATATACGTCCATGAAGTTGTGGAAATTAAAAAAAATAATAATAAAGAATTTAGTGTTTTTAAACAAGCACAATGACGGAACTACATACTTCCTATTAAGTACTATACGTTTCTATAAGAAGAATTGTATTTTTTATTGTATATGAATTGATATTTCCAGATTAAAATATTTGCTTGCCGTGAGAGAAGACATGATAGACGCTTTTCTCCCAGAAAGCTTCCCGTTTATCCTGCTAGGTCTTTCCGATCCAGTGGATGACGTTAGCGCAGTTGCTGCTTCTGCATTAATCCCCGTGGCAGAGAAACTGACTGACCTAGTACCTGAACGTATCCCAGAGGTCGTCACGAAGCTTTGGGACTTACTGTCCGAGCAAGACGAACTGGCAGCTGCTTGCAATAGTTTCATGGGGTTGCTGGCTGCAGTATTAAATCTGCCGAAGATGCAGGCGTTGTTGCCGGCACAACCCTTGAATGAAGTTGTTCCCAGATTGTGGCCGTTTTTGAGCCACGGAACAAGTTCTGTCAGAAAGGCAACACTACGAACTTTAAGTAAGTACTTGTATTTTTAACTAACACTTTGTTAAAATTTTGTATTTTTCAATCGGGTTTGATTAAACAAAAGAACTATTATTTTCCAATATGTCTTACTTTTTGGTGAGATTCTAGAATCGTGATGTCAAGATTTTAAAATCAATCGAAGGCGAGAAGTTTTTATTGATTGCCGCCATTTATAGGTTAAGATCATTAATATTTTTTATTTTAAAAATGTTTTAAAACGAGTTATTTCAATCAATAAAACTGTAAAATATAATGACAATCAATTATGGTTTAATACGAAATAAAATAATATTTTAATAATGATCCATTAGTTAAAAAGAGAATTTTTCTTTTTTGTTTAATAGAAAAATTCTCATGCTCCACAGGATTCGAACTCTATACCCTTATGACTTAAATGAATCTAGAACGGTTTAGGAACGGATTTTTTCAGTTATTCAACATTTCAATTTTGTAGGTACATTAACTGAGAAACCAAAAGACGGTACCGCTATTCTCTGGGATGCTCAGCTACTTCAAGACGCTCTTCGGCACATCTATCAACGAGTTCTGGTCGAACCCAACCCTGACGTACGCCTCGTCGCTGAAAAAGTGTGGTACAATTTAATAGAGAATTCCAGACTGGTCGAATTGTTACATGCCGCTTGTCCATTCATAACCGTTTGGTTGTACCTTTGTATGCAACCTGTACGACTGCCCTTCGATACAAACTTTCTCATTCACGCCAAGTCGCATAAGAAAAAATCGGATGCGTTGAATAGTTTCGATCATACCGTTGTGCCTCCCAAGATGTACATCGGAGGTAAGAGTACCTTTAGAAGTGAGCCTTAATTTTCTGTTTACTCGTGAAATAAATTTGTAGGTATCGAAACTACTGCAACTCTGGTTAGGGAGCAAAACGCTATACCAGTTCGGTGCGCGGCCTCTAGAATGTTAGGTTCCCTTTCCCAATATATTACAAAGCCAGCACCTGGTATAGATTATGCCACAAATGGTCTGGAAAACCCCATAAATTCTTTTGTAAAAGTTCTCATGGTAAGTATATGATTTACAGTCAATTAAATACCCTCTATTGCCATACATATTTATTAGAAAGATCAACAATTTACTCATCTTATTTAAAATTATTTATTTAACTATTGTTTTTAGGTCCATTTGAATTCAAAATCAGCTCTCCAACGTATGGTAACAGGTCTAGTCATAGCCGAATGGGCTAAAGCCGATAAAGACGTAGAAACATGCCCCCTCATCCTGAAGACTCGATTGCACGAATGCCTTAACGAGTTTCTTTACTTCGATGAAATTGCTCATAGTTTTACACGTCTGGCTCAGGAAACAAAAGACTTTTTAGCTACTTTACGGCATTATAAAGTGCCTATACCGGGTAATAACGAAAACGTTCTAACGCTCGACCAAATCGAGCAAGTTACTGGCCCGGAGACTCAATCGATTCTAGTCAATATTAAAATGAAACCTAAGGTATTGGAAAGTTTGGAGGAAAGGAGGAGAAATATTCATAACTCTGTGTCCCAGACCAATAAAGATCAGACGAGGCTTAGTTGTAGCACGATGGGTAAGTAACAGTACTACATAATATAACTGTGACATATTTTGATATTTTTATTACGTACTTTCAAAGGTCAAATCAGGGATACCACAGACAGTATGCTAGGTCCTCCCCTTTATCTGATATTTACTGCAGACATCCCAACCACAAATACACCAGGAATCTTAATATTTGCCGATGACACCACCATAATCGCTATCAACGACATTAACAAGACAAATGAGGTGGCTCATAGGTCGAAAATCAAAACTAACCATAGAAAATATGCTGCTTCTGTTCAAATTTATAATAAAACGATTCAAATGAAACAGATTGTAAAAAAAATTGTTAACAATATAACTACTATCACAAAGTTGGGCGGCAATGTGTAACAATGAAACTCCAACTAACGTTAGGAGCCAACTGTTTTGGGCTTCGTCTAGCTCAGTCTTTCAGGTGTAAGTTCGTCTTATCTTAAAAAATGCAAATCTGAAAAATGGGTTTGGCTAGGACAAATAAAGGAGGATAATAACTAACCATATTTCATCATCATCATTGAAGAATAGCTCTGAAGATGGCTTTTTAAGACAAAAGCGCTCATCTAGTAATTAAAACAATTTTACACACTTCAAACATACTTTTTTTTCCATTCTTTCATTTAAATGAATCGGTTAATTACATTAAAGATTCTAGCTGCATATACTATTTAAAAGTTGTAAATAAATCGCGGCTTGGAGAATAGGTTATGTCAAAGAAATAATATAAGAAGCTATCAAAAAAGATACTGGATATTGCTTAAATATTACACATAAAGAATTATGACTTTACCCCAATGGCGATTTAAATAATATAAATGAATTTACTAGCAGAAATTTAGCTTAAGTATACAAAAGATGCAGAAAAAACATTCCCTTCCATTTAAGCGAAAACTGACATGACAGAACGGTGTTGCCAACTGACAAATATATTTTGTCGCTTTGAGAATCTGACAGACATCATATTTTATGTATGTATGTCTATGCAGTAGAATTTTCTAATCCCTCTCCCAGTATTGATGGATGACAGTTTCTTGTATATCGGTTGACGTGTTGATTTCTGTTGTAAGTGAGGTATCGTAGCGGCGTGGTAGATATAAATTATGGTCTTTGTCTGCACCTTCCGGCGAAGTATGTATTTTATTCTATAATCATAAATTTTTTATTTTTATAGCCGCAATAGCGGGTGCGGCAGTCATGTTAAGGATTATCCCGGAAAAGTTTGGATCAATCGTAAAGTCCTTAATGAAGTCGTTGCACAATGAAAGTAACGAGGAATTACAGAAGATAGCAGCGGAACATTTATCGATATTAATAGATCAGACCAGAGACAGGCCAAATAATCCAAACGAAAGAATCATACAACATGTCAGTAATTATTTGAAGTAAGTATAATCTGCTGTTTTTTTCTAGTGATACTTTTCCTACAGTTTTGCTATAACCAATAGGTACCTTTGTCAACTTCCATTCGGTTTAGCTCTAAATTTAGTAAAGCTGTTATCCTTACATATCGTTTTCTGTAATATTATAACCCAATGCAAGGTTTTAGTAAACTCAAGTTACTTTTATATTTCAGGAGCGATCCCGAGTTTACTCCTATCATTTATAAACATCAGGAGGAAGAAAGTTCTTCCCAGAAGGATTTTCTTAAACCAGGCAACTATAATGGTATAGTTACACTAAATAACCAACAAAGAACTGCCGAAAGAGCAGCTTTAAAGAGATGTAACAGTACAGGACGAGGTAAGTGATCTTATTTTAATCTAAAGTTCCTTCTAAATTGAAGAAGCAATGGAGCCCAGTCGTTGAGGTTTGCTTAAGTTTCTGTTTTCTAAAAATAATTTGCTGAACGTTAGAGATATACTGCAATATTTTTTTAAAGTAAATATATTCTCCTTCATTTACTGGCAATCATCAATTAACGAATATATATTTTTTTAATTTTAGGCCCTGGAAGACCTCCAGCGACGGATATTCCAATGGACGAATTATTTAAAGAAGAAGATGAAACACAGAAAACAAATGTAATTCAAAGACGAGGTGGGACACTAGGTCTTGTAGCTATTGTCAAACATTTTGGAGAAAACGTACCAACAGCTGTACCTAAACTGTGGGAATTAATGATCGGTCGATTGACTGAGTCCATAGATCCGTTTAATTTCATTGCTCAAGATTTTTATGATAAGGAAGATCAAGCAGAAATGATTTTGTGGTCCTTACAGGTAAAGTTACAATAATTTAAAAGAATTATAATACACCTTTTTTCTTCGTTTTACATATTCAATTCTTCTTTTATGGTAGGCTGCTGAACTATCAACTAGAATAAAAAGAGTAAATAAATATGTTCAAACTGGACGCTAAATAATGGTCAGAAGGTGACAATGCGCAGCTGGTCTATTTTACTAAAAGAAAAGAATAACCCCAGCTTTTATACCAGACAACAACATTAAGCAAATATATTAAGAACAAGAGCTAAAAGAAAAAGCGCTGACACAGTGGTGTATACAAACTAACATCGGTCAAACTGGTAGAACTTTTAACAAACGTATATCAGAACACAAAAGGACTCTCAATAATAGAACACTAGATCAGTGATGGAGAATCTATGACACGCATGTCACTTCTGATACGCGAGCTCATTTTTGGTGACATGCATCTTCAAAGACGGCTACAGTGAAAACAACTGAGATGAAAAGACATAAATGGATGGGTGACAAAACGAAAATAGGAGTGGAACGAACACATTAGTAGAATTGCAGAGGATAAGATAGGATAGGATAATTTAAATAATTTAGAAGGCTAATATTGAAGAAGAACTGCGTACAAGAAGGAAAAAGAAGAAGAAATCTGAGAGTCCCTCTAGCATCACTTGAATACGCACACCAAACCATCCCTTCGTCCCTCCATCCTTCGTCTAGAGCAAGCACAAAGGCGGGCTAAGGAGAAACTGTACAAATAGTGACGTACATTTGTCGACTTTGGAACAATGGAGCGAGAGTTTGGGACTAAACTCTTTAGCTCAGATTCAGGAGCGAGGTGTCCGCGAAAGGCTTAATGTTCTAATGTCCACTAACTGTATATAGATTAGAGGAGAAAAAGGAAATTTACTTTTAATAAGTTTCTAGAAAGGGATTTTGCTGTAGATTCATATTAAATAATCAGTTTTTATTGGAAAAATGTTATTTCACGTTTCACTTTTTTTTTCTAGGTTTTGGAGGTGACCGTAACTAGTTTACACAAATCGTTGCTACCGGAAGTAATGCACAAAGCTCTGATAAGACTCTGTGTTTTGCTTTCACATCCCTATCGAGCTGTAAGACATTTATCATCACGTTGTTTAGCCACATTTGCCAAACTTGATTCTGTAAAAGTCATGGAAATGGTTGTTAGTATAGTATTACCAAAGCTGGGAGCTACGGACTGCGATATAGATAGGTAAGAGTTATATTTGGTTTTGAGTGATGGGTTTATACTACAGTAGAACCTCTATGTCAAACATCAAGTTAGACGTCAAAAAATTCGAGTTATAGAGGATTTCGATTTAGACAGATTTTTGTTTGACATAAAGAGTTTGAGCCATTCTTACTAATTTTCAGTTAAAGAAGTGAAATAAATACATATTCAAGTTATAGAAGTAACAACCATATTTTTATTTAATATAAATCAATATTATTTTAACACATGAAAATAAGAAATATGGCCGTTAAAAAAATCAGTTTTGCTTTAGATAATTCGGTCGTTCTCTATCTTTAGCCTTATCTAAGGTATAAAGAGCAGAAAATTCTTTTTCAGAGTTGCTGGTTTGCTCTATAAAATTACGTAAAGTATTCAATTCTGTTCTTGCTTCTTTGTTGAAAACTCATGGAGCGCATGTAGTATTATTTAAGTCTTCTGTATCATCTAAATCAGTGGTTCTCAACCTTTTTTTGGCGACGGAACACTTTTAAATACCGAAAAAAATTGCGGAACACCAAAGCAATAACATGCATATATTGATAAACAAATTAGGATTAGCACATTAATTCTGTAATAAACTTTATTATACGTACACAAATTTGTAAAATTTTACTTAAAATATGAAAACAAAAAGTGGATATTCCTCTTGGACCAAGATTCAAAATTCCTGAACAATCACTTCTGAAAACTTAATTTTCAGAGTACGATCAGATGACAACGAAATAAATTCTTCTTGGTTCAGAGAAAACTGGAAATTGGCTGTATTACTTGTGCTAAAAGGACTTCTTATCCAGTCATATTTTTCTACGTTCAGAGATGGAAAATACCTGGCAATTGTCTCCTCTAATAGTGATACGTGTTCTGTAACTATATGCGTGATTTCTTGTTCTTTATATTCATCACCTTCATTCTGAAGTAGTGGAAACATATTCATTTTATTTGTCTCTAAAATGCGCTTCTTCCAAAAAGACAATTTTTTCTGGAAAGCTGACAGCTTGTCCGTGGATGTTAAAATATTTTCATTTTTGGCTTGCATACTTGAGTTAACGCCATTTAAATAATTAAAAATATCGGCCAAATATGCCACTTTAGTGCACCATGCATCATTTTCAAAATATGTGGTAAATGTGTCATTACCTTCTTCTTGGAAAAAAGTTAACAGCTCCGTTCTAAGTTCATAAATTTGACATAATACTTTGTCCCTTGACAACCATCTAACTTCGGTGTGCAGCAACAAACATTCATACTTTGATTCCATTGAGATGCAGAGTTGTTTAAAAAAGACGGGTTTTTAGTGGTCTTGATTTGATGTAATTCACTACATTAACCACTTGGTCTAATACAGATTTCAAAGTAGCTGGTAGCGTTTTTGAAATTAGAGATTCTCTATGCAAGAAACAGTGCGTAGATATGATATTTTCATTTCGCTTTTTTGCAAGGGTACAAAAACCTTTTATGGAGCCTACCATGGAAGGGGCACCATCCGTACAAATTCCTACGCAAAAGTCCCATGATATATTTTTTTTCTCTAAATATGACGTTATGGAATCAAATACATCCTGACCTGTTGTACGTGCTGTAAGTTCTCTGCAGCATAAAAACTGATTGACTATTTCACCTTCGTCGACAAATCGAATAAATCCTAATAAATGAGCTTTGCCACTAATATCAGTGGATTCGTCCACCTGCAATGCGAAGTTTTTTTTGTAAAGTTTATTTGTAACTTTTTCCTCAATATCTGCAGATAAATCAACAATCCTTCTTCTTATTGTATCATCCGACATAGGAATTTTCCGTATTTCGTTTTGTGCATCGTTGCCAAACATAATTTTGACCATCTCACAACATGCTGGTAATATAGAGATTCTGCAACAGTGTGTGGTTTGTGTTTCAAAGCAATTAATTCGGCGACCTTATATGAAGCTATTTGTGCTTTGTCGGAAATTGTTAGCGACCTTTCAAATTGTTTCGCTTGTTTAGCTTGTGTCTCCAAAAGTCGCTTGAAATAATCTTTATTTTTTGAAGCTACACTAGCATGTTTGGTAGTAAAATGGCGTTTTAATTTAGCCGGAGCCATTTCGCTATTAGCGAGTGTCTGCCCACAAACAATACACTTGGGAATTGGACAGTCTTCTTCCCCAGTCCAAATGAAGCCATAATCCAAATATTCGTCCAAATATTGCCGGTTCAACATTTTTTTGCTGCGCTTCGATTTGTCATCAACCCCACTTCGTAAAGTTCCAGTATCTCCGCTGGTGCTCGCTTCATCATTTTTAATTATGAGTTGTTCCACAGTAGTTTTTCTTTTAAGTTTGAGGAACTTATCCATTTTAATTTATTCGTCTCTAAACAAAATAATGCGGATGCATGCTTCACATTTTGTATAAAATATGCAATTACTTACCTTTGATAGATAAGCCGTACGTAAACGTTATCATAAAAAAACTGACACAGCGATTTTCACGTATTACGTTTGTGCAATGTAACAAATTCAACATTCAGTTGCAGACTGTGGCGTGGGTGACTCAGATTGGCTGTGGCCACTGCGGAGCTCAGCGCTTATAAAATCCAACGTGTGCACTGTGCCGACGCGGTGTTATCACGTTGGGCAAATGAACATTTACGCTGCAGAATTTCATTAAATTAAAATGTACGTAAGTGGCTATTTTAAAATTTGAAAATATTTATTTGAAAAGAGTAATTTAGCAAGATGGTATGTAGGATTGCGAGTATTTCGCGGAACACTTGAAAGGAATTCGCGGAACACTAGTGTGTTCCGGAACACCGGTTGAGAACCACTGATCTAAATCATTAGTATCGGTTTTCTGAGCTACTGAATCGATAACTTCGTCATCAGATAAGAAACAAAGTCTTCAAAGGATATTCCCGTTGTATTCCATTCTGCAGGAGGTGAAATAGATCTTCGGTTTCAGCTTCTTTTGTTGGCGACGATGGAAAACTACAGTGGACATAACAGTTTTTTTATGGTAGTCGTAGTTACATATCGGTGAACTTTATCGGCCATTCTCATGGCTTGCAATACATCTATAGTAGAATTCCTTTATTCTTCTATATTATTAAACATGTTCCTGACAATTTTTTTCGATATAATAAGTAGAAGCTTTTAATGGTACCTTGATCTAGTTTCTAAGATCTAGGTCTAATAGTTTTTGAAATTTGCAGAATTCATCCATGCTTTTGTATTTCCTCGTATTAAGGTAGTGATTGACATCTTGAAAAACAACAAGGTTTTTTTAGATTTACCTATGACTAATTTTTGAGTTTTTCTTGTGAATTAGATCCTCGCGAAAACGCAAGAACAAGACCAAGACTGCAAGACCAAGAATAATTGAATAAACAAGACAACAATTAAAATATGTCGCTCTGTCAACACCGAACGTCTGCTTCAAATGTATGCTTGTCTAATTATGTTATCCAGTCAATGTGATTCAATCAAATTGGTTTAGACACTTAGAATATAATATAGGCAACCAATTTGATACATTGGTATGACTGTAAAACCGCTGGGAAGTTTTAAAAAAAAATGTTTGTAAAGGTGGTCATCTCAGCATACCGACACTCGTGAAAGGGTTAAAGATGTTCTATTGTGATCACAATATAAACGTGTAATATGTTTTAATCAAGAGCTAATTCAATAATTTCATGGTGATTCGTTTCAGATAACAACAATATATAGCTGTTGTGGAGCCCGAAATAATCATCGTTGAGCAGTGAGACCATCGTTTAATATTTATTTATTCGGTGGTGAAATGAAATTTTCATTTTTGAAAAAAAAATTTGCATTGCTATTAAACTTTTTATATTCAACTATTCTCACAGGTCTCAACTCTTTCTTCATTTGTTCTCAAAATCACAGAAGATGTGCACCAAGCAGGCTAATTTACTGATCGCTTTTTATTTTTTTTTGTTAATTGTTAATTATTGAATTTATTGAAAGATAGTTCTGCTGAAATGTAAAGAATATTCTTACGAATTCATCCCATGAGTATTTTAGACCATGTTATTGCCGAAAATCCTCATAACGTCTCAAATATTATATCAGAATATAAAACGTCATTTTTTATGTATACTAGACCTTTTTCGTCACTTCATAGCATCAACTAAATGAAAATTCTTGTTTCCAGACAAGGTGCCGTCGAAGCCATCACCTGCATTGTAGAGGAGTTAAAATTCGACATAATTCCTTACGTAGTACTGTTGGTTGTTCCGTTACTCGGTCGAATGTCAGATCAAAATATGTGCGTAAGACTTATGGGCACCCACAGCTTTGCCACGTTGGTACAATTGATGCCGTTGGACGGGGGCGTACCGGAACCACCGGCACTAAAAGGTAATGATCTACTATACCATTTAGCAATCATTTCATGTATTGTTTAATTGTAGGAAGTATTTTGAACGAACGAAGAGACAAAGAGAGGGAATTTCTGCATCAGCTTCTTACTCCCTCTTCGATACCGGACTATCACGTTCCCATTCCAATTGATGCAGAGCTGAGAAGTTACCAGCAGGCCGGTGTTAACTGGTTGGCGTTTCTTAACAAGTAAGTTTCGTATATATGGTGAAAAGTCCAAGAAATGAACATACTCTTGTAAAGTTGATAGAGAACGTATAATTGAAAGGCGGCGCCATCTATGGTTATTGATTTGCAATTATGTATTATGCATTAAGGAAAAAACTTGAGGCAGCATTGTTTATAATCAAAAATTATATATATAATTCGGTCTGTTGTATATCGATACATTTTTGGCAAAGTAACGTAAGTCACCAAAAACGATTTGTAGAAAAAACAATTTTTTAATTCAACCTGGTTAAACTTATTTAAATTATGACTGAAAAAAACTTGCTCTTATTGTCCTAAAAAAGGTTTAAAGTAATTCTAGGCTTACTACACTCTTTCAGTGCCTTTTTAACAGTAAAAGCATTAGTTTAATTGAAAAACATTATTTTCGCCAAAAATGTCACTTAGGTACGTTACTTTGCCAAAAATGTATCGATATTTGTAAATAAAACTCTTTTTCTTTAGATCTATATACTTCTCTAATTGTTTGTTAGCTTCGTCAGGAGAAACTACAACATAATTTTAAATAAAATTAATAAAAAGATGATGTTATAAGTTAGTAACTTACAAAATTAGAGTACATATTTTAAAACATTTTCATGTTCAAAACAGTAGTGGAGAGGGGGCTGTGGACAAATTAAAAAAAAAACATTTATACCGCAAAATGAGATTCATTGTAAAGTATCGGCTTATTTAATGTAAGATTCACACATTTGTGAGTCTTTGTGTACATTTAAATTTGGTAGTAGTTAAAATTATTTAGGCCACGTGCATTAAATTCCAAGTAGATGTAATTAGTCCACATATGGCCAAGACAATATTTTCTACGGGGCACATTTGGACACGGGTTTTGAAGGAAATAAAATAAAAACATTTTTTTATGAGTGCAATTTTAAATGTAACAATAAAACACTGAAAACTTTGTTTTCAAACTTCCACAAAATTTATTTTAAATATTATCACTACAGCTGTTTCGGCTGATTGCCTTTCTCAAGTGATCTATTTTGGCTTGGGTTTACAAATTTATAGTCTCTAATGAAATAGGTTGAGGAGGGGAGAACTGTTTGTCTCAAGTTGGTCATTTAGAATTATATCTGTGTTTTTTAATTTGTTGATTTCCATAGATTCTAACAAAGATAGCTTAAGGCCTTTATTTTGAATGAGAAGAATTTTAAATTTGTCATTAAAAGAATGATTATGATCTAGAAGGTGAAGTGCGTATGTCGAATCTGTTTCTCTATTCTTGAAAGCCCTTTTATGTTCTGCTATTCGTTTATCAAAGTTTCTACCAGTTTGACCGATGTAAGTTTTTGGGCAGTCGCCACATTCAAGTTTGTACACACCACTATTTAAGTGTTTTTATTTTGGCTCTTGTTATTTTTAATATATTTGCCTAGGTTGTTATTTGTTCGGAAAGCTGGTGTTATTCCTTTCTTTTTTATGTGTTTGGCAATTTTTGTTGTTATTTTGCCTGTATATGTAATCGAGCAGAAGGTACTGAGTTTTTTCTCTGGTGGTGGAAATACTAATTTCAGGGCTTTCTTGTGTAGTTTTTGATTTAACATTTTATTAATTGTTTATTCGTTGTATCCGTTGTTTACTGCTATCTGCTTAATTATATTTAATTCTGTCTCAAAGTTGTATTTTGACATCGGAATTTCTGTTAATCTATGTAACATACTATGATAAGCTGCCAGTTTATGTTGTGTTGGATGGGATGACGAATTGTGTATAGTCGTGTCAGTATGGGTAAAAAATGGGTTTTAAATCTAAAAAATTTATGGATTGATTTTGTTCTGTTTCTATTGTAAATTCAATATGACTATGAAGTGAATTAATATAAATATGATAAAAATTGGTCCAGTTGCCTATTAGTTCCTGTGAAACATACCAGTACGTCGTCTACGTATCTCCACCAATATAAAAACTGTTTGAATACGGGATGTTTTGAAATCTTTGTCTCTAGATGATCCATAAAAATATTTGATAGCAATGGGCTTAGAGGATTACCCATTATAAGTCCTGCACTGTTATTTGTATAAATTTTATTATTAAATTCAAAGTAGTCCTGGTTTATGCAAACTTCAAGAAGATGTAAAATTTCAGATGTAATTATTGGATTTGTACTATTTTGGTCTAAAAGGTTTTTTACTAGAATAAAAGTTTCTGTAGGAGGGATACTAGGAAATAGATTTTTTACGTCAAATGAAATTAATCTGGAGTTGTTAGGTAATTGAAAATGTTGTATTTTATTAACTAGTTCTATTGTATTTTTTATGGTAAATTTAGGTGAAAATTTAGCGTGGTCTAAAATAATCTCTAACAGTTTTTTTGAAATTTTATATGACGGAGCTGTATAAAAAGAAACTACAGGTCTTATTGGGTGATCCGGTTTGTGTAGTTTAATGAAAGAATATAATTTAGGAGGCTGTGGGTTCATAATATTGAGGTATTTCTGTTCTATTGGATTTAGTATTGATTTTGAATTTTCTAACGCTAGTTTAATTTGTTTTTGATATTTTTCTGTCGGATCTTTGTGTAAAGTTTCAATATTTTGATTATTTAAGAATTCTATTGTTTTGTTATTATATTCTATTTTATCTATAGCAATACTAGTGTTACCTTTGTCTGCTTTTGTAAACACAATGTTGTTTTCTATTGATTTATTTTTAATTGAAATTGATGTTTTATTCTCTTTGTAACAGGAATACTTAGTGTCACTACACACATCTGTAATAGATTTGGCAATTATACTTTTTTCGATATTGTTAGCAGTTTTGTTTAACGCTACTTAAACAAAGTTTTCAGTGTTTTATTGTTACGTAAAATGAATTTCCATCAAGTAACGGTCGAATCCATCAATTAGCAATTTTAAATACTTATTTATCAAAATACATTGAACTATCCCATATTAAACCGATGAAAATTAACGGAAAACCTAAAAAAGGAGCTGGATCGTATTGTCCCAATTTTTTTTCAGGAGCTGGCAATTTTCTCATAATATCGTTTGCAGAAATATGACTCTCATCCTTCTGATCTGGAAATACAAAATTTTGTCACGGCGTAATTTAAAAAAAAATACTAAAAATTGTGACTCTCTTAGTACTTTTTCGATCTGACCAACAAAGAATTTGAGTTTTTTTTTTTACCAAATTTAATGAGAGCAAAATCACCTTTCTGGATATTCGTAAGATCCAATCCAAAATCTTTACCATCTTCAGTCTCAACTTCCATACGACTCTCATCTGATTCTTCGCAATAATTCTCAATTTCGCTTTCTGAGGTCTCCTCATCAAAAACTTTGCGAATATGGGATTTGGATTTTTTCTTTTCTGTATTTTCCTCCATTTCTCTTATTTTATTTTCTAATCTTCCTTTCTTAGAACTTATTCTCACGAATCTTCTTTGGAAACGGCCGAATTTTTTCCGTAGCAAGTTTTACATTGGAAATAATTACAATTTTGGAACGTTTTTCGGTAGTTAAAATATTTGACAATTTTTGTTGACTTGTGGTTGAACATTTGCCGATGATGATGTAGAAGGCATTTCGGAATTATAGAGTGTACTGCAATTTAGACAATCATGAGTTGTGGTATCTCGCTGCGATACATCACTGACTTCGGTAACTTCAGCTCCTACGAAATCTTCTGAGGAAAAAATATTTTTATTAAAGGGATAGCAACCAGTGTTTAAAAACCCAGAAATAATGTTTTTCCTATGCAATATGCAATGTCATAAATTGTTATAGTTTTTCCCGGATGTGAAGACATCCATAAGTTGAATGCTGCATCACAACGATCCTTAAAAGGACCAAATACACACACATTCAGAGGCTGCAAACGATGTGTTGTGTGTGGAGGAAACGTTAAGAGTACTAAACCATTTTCCATACAATACAATATAACATATAACTTTGCATGTGTATTATGGTTATCCAAAAGTATTAACGCAGGGTTATCCTTAAAAGCATGCATATATATATATATATATATATATATATATATATATTATATATATATATATATATATATATATATATATATATATATATATATTTTTAATATACTTTACAACTTCAAGGAATCCCTTGTTGGTCATCCAACCACTTGAAGAAGCAATACCAATGCTACCTGGTAGAGCTCCAGTCAGGAATGACTCTTTAAATCGCAATCGTAGGAAGATATAAACAGGTGGAATAGCATTTCCATTGGCAATGATTATTCCAATAAACGTCACTTGCTCACCTCTCTCTGCTCCAACTGCTTGTCCCATTTGCTTACAGCCCTTATTTGCTACCACTTATGGTATTTGCAGAACAGTGTTCACTCCACTTTCATTTACGTTCACGATTGTATTGGTAGTAAATTTGTAAGTTTTGTAAATAGTCTCTATGTTATCATAAAACATGTCTACGTTTATTTTATTAACATTTGGAGTCTTGTTTTTTACTTTTGAAATCAGTTGTCCGTTTTCTAATACATTATATTTAACAATTTTTACTTATATTAGTAATATTAGTAAATTACTTAAAAAATCTAGTTACAGAAGAATATAAAGAGGAAAGAGTCGTTCCGTATAAAGTGTCAAAAAACACGATAAACAACAGGGACACATAATAGATATATAGAGATAAAGAAAAATGTAAGAAGGTAAACTTTCTGTGTCTATTATCATTTACTAAAATAATTGAAACTCCTGGAAAAGGACATAAAGGAAACCCCGTGCTTATGAGTAAACTGCCTCTAGTAGCATCTTCGAAAAATGTTGAAAGTTGATTGAGCACATATAATTGGTCAAAAATATTTTTTAAAAAAATGATATATAGTGTGAAGAAAAGCAGATAAAAAACTATAAAATAAAAAAGAATGGAAACTATTTTGTATCCAGAAGAAAATTGGAAAAATATTTCTAAAAAATTGAAAAATAATAAGAAATAATTGAATAGAAATATGTATTTATTATTACAGTTGCCAGATAATTGGAAAATGTTCCTTCCTGTTGCGTGAAAAATTATTTATTATATAAATCGTTGCATTTTTTACATTATAAAAGGTGAAACAAGCTTTCCACCGCATTTTGAAAATTTTAATTCGAATAAGTAGCGCGCTTTTTTTATCGTTCTGACTAATTTTTAGATACAAATTGCATGGTATCCTATGTGACGATATGGGTTTGGGAAAAACATTGCAGAGCATTTGCATTCTCGCTGGAGACCAGTATGACCGAGAACAACGCTACAAAGAAACCAAATCTCCTGATTGTGCTTCACTACCATCGATGGTTATTTGTCCACCTACTCTCACAGGTAAGTTTTATCTTCTTATTTATCACACTATAAATACAATGTGTAGTTACATAGTTAGTTTAACACCACTTTTTATTTCTTTTTCTTCGTGTAATGTAATGTTTGTATTGTATGTAACATTCTGTTATTTTCCAGGTCATTGGGTTTATGAAGTGGAAAAATTCCTTAAACACAAGTATTTACGCCCTCTACAGTATAACGGATCTCCCACCGAGCGAGAGAAACTGAGACACAAATTTCGAAAATTTAATCTGATAGTCGCCTCGTATGATATCGTTCGTAAGGACATATCATTCTTCTCTGGTATTAAATGGAATTACATAATTCTTGATGAAGGGCACGTTATTAAGAACGGTAAGTTTTTCTACTAAAAGACAAAGTGGCGTACTAGAATTTGCAAAGTTTTGGAAGAGGTTTGAAATATCTGTTTGTTTTAGGTAAAACGAGAACAAGTGTAGCGATAAAGGCGCTGGTAGCCAACCACAGACTGATCCTTAGCGGTACTCCTATTCAAAATAACGTCCTGGAACTTTGGAGTCTTTTCGATTTCCTAATGCCAGGTTTCCTTGGAACAGAAAAACAATTCACAGCTAGATATTCTCGACCTATTTTAGCCAGTCGGGATCCTAAGTGTTCTCCAAAGGAACAAGAAGCTGGAGTATTAGCCATGGAGGCATTGCACAGACAAGTATTGCCATTTTTGTTGCGAAGAATGAAGGAAGACGTTTTGGACGATTTACCACCAAAGATTACGCAGGATTATTACTGCGAATTAAGTCCTTTGCAAGAACAACTGTACGAAGACTTTTCCAAAAGTCAGGCTCATCAAACTCTACAGGTAGAAGATCCTTTAAAAGAATTAGTTACATTCCTTACTATTAATCTCTTATTTATTACAGGAATCTATTTCTGCCAGTGGTTCATCAGGTTCCATTCATAATACACACATATTCCAAGCACTTCGTTACCTACAGAACGTCTGTAATCACCCGAAATTAGTACTAAATGCAACACATCCGCACTATCAACAAATCAACGCCCAACTACAAGAAAAAAATTCAAGATTGGAAGATATAAGTCATTCGGCCAAGTTACCAGCACTTAAGTAAGTCATTTTTGTCTATATTTTTTGTTTAGTATTTAATTAGGACATTTAGAACATTATTTATTTCTTAATAAGTTTTTAAATATAAAACTGCCCCAATCTAAAAACCCAGGCAGAAGGATTATTAAGAAATATTCCATATGTAATCAACTTTGTTAAGCTATATTATACTTATATGAAAATAACCATAGTTGCCACTCTAGGTAAATATATCTATCAAATGAAATCCCCAATCAGAGAATCGATTTGACCGAATCCTTCAACTTTATTTTAATGGGCAGTTCCCGAGATTGTCTAAAGAAACGTTTTCGGACTAGCAAGTTCATCATCAGAGCAGTTACAATATAAGTATCAAGTACAGTGTCAAGCCCAATTGGGGAACGATATCAGACATATTGATCCTAATGTAGAAAGCTACGGAAGATTTGCGAGACTTATAATTAGTTGTGTCAAAAAACATTCCACGCGACCTAACCAAATCCTACATTCCATGCTGGACCAAAGAATGTAAAGACCTCTATAATCAATACTAGCAAACCAGAGACCCAGACGTAGGTGAACAACTTCTAGAGTCTGTGAATTTTGCAAGAACCACCAGGTGGAGGAAAACTCTCGAAAACTTTAATTTCACACATAGCACTCGCACAGCCTGGAACCTACTTAGAAAACTGGAAACAGGCCCTAACATCCGGACAACTAACTCTTCAAACACAGAGAATACATCAAAACGCTTTGCCCCGCTCTTCAAACCAGCCCTAGAAAAGTTCATAAAAGAGAAGTACGATATAAGCTCAAAAAGATGAAAACTGCACATCAGGAGGCAAATAGAGATCAAGAAACTTTTCAACGAATTAGACTTAATTAAGTGCCACAAAGCTGCAGGAGTTGACAAAATATTTCCCAAGTTCATAAAACACATTGGTTAAAAAACTTAAAAGTGGCTACTAGATTCCTTCAATCAGATAATGATGTCACAAAAGCTTCCTAATCTTTTCATACAAAGCAAAGTCATAGTAATTTGCAAACCAGGCAAAGACACTTCACTACCAGAAAGTTATAGAGTAATAGTCCTTTTAAGTGCCTGCGATAAGGTTTTTGAGAGGATAATCTACGCGATTTTTTACAATCTGTCAGCGGAAAGATTCCCGTAGAACAAGCTGGATTTATACCTGGAAGGAACTGCAGCGATCAAGTTCTTTCTCTAACAACATTCATTGAAAATGGCTTTCAATAGAAAATCAAAACGGCAGTAGTTTTCATTGATCTGACTTGCAGGGTCAACTGCGGCTGAAATCTCGAAACTCACCAACAAGAACAGCTAACAATCTTCCAAACAATTTCACAATCACTGAGCATTGGATAGGTGAATGGAACGGAGAAGTGAACAACGCACATGTAATAGAAAATCCCATAGTCAAACCCAACGGTTTCTCTCTTTCACGCCGAGAATGGTGTAATCTGAACTGAATCAAAAGATGTCATGGAGTATGCCATGACATATAAACATCATAGGCCATTTTCGACAGACAGCCAAGAACTCAAAATGAAATTGGGCTTGGTATTTCTTTTATAACCTCGCATAAGCTAATTAGAAAAAGAGGGTTGTTTTCGTTTACATAGGAATATTTTATTTACCAGTTTTAGCTTTAATTATGGCCAAAACTAATAAAGTTTTAAGAGTGATTATGTAAGATTGCTGTCGAATAGACTAAACTAAGAGAGAACCGTACAAGTGTACATTAGAAACATGCCGCAATTTTATTTAATTGATTGATTGATTGATTCAAATAAAGTATTTCAAAAAGTTTAAAAATTACCAGTAGCAATCTGCAAGCAAAAAAGTACAAAATGACATTCGCACATTATTTTAGCTAAAAAGGTTATTCTTGTTAACATAGAATGGCCTGTCTTCGTAGTTTATAATTTTTGTCTATCTTCTACAGGCAACTTCTTCAAGACTGCGGAATAGGCGTAAACGACAGTCCTGATAAAGAATCAACTGACATTGTCATCAACCAACACAGAGCTTTGGTATTCTGTCAATTGAAGGCTATGTTGGACATCATAGAAGAGGATCTATTCAAGAAAAATATGCCTGGCGTATCGTATTTGCGACTGGATGGTTCCATACCACCCATACATAGGCATTCAGTGGTTACGAGGTAGTTATTTGTTTATTTATTTATTTACCTGATCAACTATGACACTATCGGGACATAATTTTTGAAAAATAGCTGCAGTCAATAAACCACTGAATTATGAGCTAGCTTGTTCTAGAATTCGGCAAATTTTCAATTGATCAGTTCACTACATGACTTGCACACAATTTTCTTCAGATTTACTTCAGGTATTTTACTCTTTATTATATGGAATACACATATGCGTCTCTTTGTATTCCCAAATACCCAGTAGAATTTTCTCGGCGGCCTTAGAATAGCTGTGGATCGAACCGTCGCGTAGTATATTCGATCAGGGGCGTACCAAGGGCTTCGCATAACAGTATAATTTTTATTAGTGTTGCAAGTTATGACAGATATAAAGTCACTATTATATGGTGTCATAGTATGTATATTAATGTATAATCCATGTTTTATGTTACATTTTTATCATCTTTTTATCATCAGGTTTAACAACGATCCTTCGATCGACGTCCTGTTATTAACGACCCAAGTTGGAGGACTGGGCTTGAATCTGACGGGCGCCGACACGGTTATTTTCGTCGAACACGATTGGAATCCTATGAAGGATCTACAAGCCATGGATAGAGCTCACAGGATCGGCCAGAGGAAGGTTGTAAATGTCTACAGGCTGATCACAAGAGGAACTCTGGAAGAGAAGATTATGGGGTGAGTGTGGTTTAATTTATATAAAAACTTGTTCGTTGTATTTATTTCAGTTATTGTTATATTTATAATATTGAATGATATGCTAGAATATTTTAATTTTTATTATAGTAGTGTTATATGCATATTCTATTTCGTAGTTGAGAAGTGTTTATTGTCAGCTGTCTTTATCTGTCTTTTCATTTGTCATAGACGAGATAACTGTTTATATTATATTTATTTTCATTCATCGATTAGGTCCTGGGCATTAAAATTTTCAAATCAACTGTGTAATATTTACTTGCTAAATTAACTGTAGTGTTTTGGGCGGTTTTTTCCTTCCTTTCTGCTTCAGCTTTTAGGCTTATTGTACTTACCTTCCACATTCTTTTACGACACCCCTTCCAAAATGTTTTTAACTTTCACCAAATTGTCAGAGCTTGTATTCAGATGTACTTTTACTGGCACAAGTCCTGTTGGTAACACTAGGATTTTGAGCTGCTTCCTGTTCATTTTACGTAGTATTGCATGTGGGGTTTGTTCTTAGTACACATTGTATTTTCCCTGAATCCAGCCTTTTATTCGGTTTGTGATTGTGATTTTTGGAGTACCCAGAACCGGTTCAGATCCTCTTCTAGTAAGTTCATCGGCCCTTTCATTGCCATCGCTTCCTTGACGTTCTGGCACCCAAGTAAGTTTTACACTGTGGCGGCCTGATAGATTATCAAGTTCTTAACCCTTGGAATGGATTGACTAGAGCTCATATAGCTGCCTGACTTATCCGCTTATTTGCATAATTCATCATATTGTTTATTCTTGCATAATGCAGGATTACGCAGATCTCTGTCTAGTTCTCTGTCCCATATAGGAATGGACTGAATTGTGGTTATTAATGTTACCATTGCTTACTCCCATTCCCGAACCACCCTTCTTTTTGATCCATCTGTATACCAGTTGTGGCAATTAGACTTAAGATGTCTTCTGGGATCTTCCATACCACTCTTGTGGTTAGCTCTATCTGAAAAGATATTTTGATTCTATTTTTGGAGATTACGTAATGTGTTTGTATCTCCCATATGTGATTCTTAGGTTCTAGGTTTTCTTGTAATTTATATAAACTCATTCTCGATTCTCCCTTTACTGGAATACACAAGAGAGAATGTCCAATAGAGTTTCCATTGCTGAAGTTGGAGTGCTTCTCATAGCACCAGTTTTGCTGAGGCAGGCAAGTGTTTGAACCTTGATTAGCTTCAGCATTACACTTCTTTATTGTACCTTTGTATATGTTTTTGTGGGTTTAACCAGGTTTTGGCAGTTTCTAGCGATATATTAAACACTTTTACGACTGAGATCTTCAAACGATCAACCCAAGTACTTTCAGATATACTTCGGCCATTAGTTTCACACCCAGGATTGCTTCCTAAATCCTATTACCTTTCTGAATCCTTATTGAGATCCTTAGAAATATGCTTTACATTTGATATATGTCGTCTTCAGACATTCTTGCTTTTTTAATTGCTTAGTTACTGTATAAAATAAAGAGTTTGGGTAACACCTTCTCCTAAAGCTAGAGCTTTATTTTGGCCAGTTGGCTCTTAGTGCTACTGCTTTTCTTAGTAAAGTCTCCCCGTTCAATTGGTTGTCCGATCTGTGGTCCTCAAAAAATTTCGTTTAAATATACTAAGCTTAAAGTATTAGATTTTTTTAATTTATTTTTCGAAATATATTATTATTTGAATCGACTTTTGTTACAGATTGCAGAAATTCAAACTCCAGACTGCTAACACCGTCATCAGCGGCGAAAACAGTCAGATGGAGACCATGGGTACCGACCAGTTACTAGATTTGTTCTCCCATAAATCGACATCAAATGGAGATTCGTCTTCTGGTAGTGCGAAGACCGGTATAGGCGGAATGAAGGCCGTTTTGGATTCGTTACCGGAACTCTGGGATAGTAGACAGTACGATGATGAGTACGATTTGTCTCAATTTATGTCCAAATTGAAGTAGATGAGGTAAGCATGTTTTACTATTTGTAATTGATAGCCCTTGATTGAATTTGCAAAGAACAAAAGATCATAGTATATTAACTATTGTGATACATAACCAGAAATACAGAAAATATTAAGATTGTAAAAAAATATGCACTAGGTACCAACATATGTATAATTGGGTTAAAATTGAAATAAAAAGTATCATGAAAACAGGCTCTTGGAAATATGTACACTGGAGGACATTGTAGAAAATACCGTCACCAATGTAAAAGAAACCTTCAATAAATTAGAGAGAGAGGCAGAAAATACCGGTCTAAGGGTAAACGAAGAGAAAACCAAATATATGTGCATTAACAGACAAAAGAGACGATATAGAATAGGACAAAATGTAACAATAGATCCCTATAACTTTGAAAGAGTGGAGAATTTTAAATATCTCGGAGCGACTATCACCACAGATAACGATATCACGGAAGAGATAAAACGGAGAACTCAGGCAGCAAACAGATGTATGTATAGCCTCCACAACACTATTAAATCCAAGAGCCTAACACGAACATCAAAAATCAGGATATATAAAACAGTAATTAGACCGGTGCTCATGTATGGGTGTGAGACGTGAACGCTGACAAAAGCAATGGAAAGTAAACTCAGATGCTTTGAGAGAAAAATCCTCAGAAAGATCTTCGGTCCCTATCACGATCCGAATACTAACCAATACCGAATGAGAACAAATGCCGAGGTCAAACAAATGTATAGTGCTAGCAACGTAGTCCAAGAGATTAAATCCCAACGTCTAAGATGGGCTAGCCATGTTCATAGGCTCCCTAATAACCGCCTTACCAAGTTAATCTGGGAAGAAGTCCCGACAGGGAGAAAGCCCTTAGGACGTCCACGAATGCGATGGAGAGATAATATATGGTCAGATTTGAGAACAATGGGGCTACCCAGTGACTTAAACATCATGGACGACCGTTCGAGATGGAAGCAGGTTGTGCAGTCAGCCAAGACCCACCCCAGGTTGTAGTGCTACCATAAGAAGAAGAAGGAGGCACAGCATTTCCTAATGCATTAATTATTCCACATATAGTGATTAGGGTGTCTCTCTCTGCTGAAACTATCTGCCCAACTTGTTTGACTCCCTTTTGCGTTACAATGTTTGCAGGACAATGCTGATACCAGTTTCGTGTAAGTTATAGATCCTGTCAGGTGTTAAATCATGGGTTGAAAGAGCACGTTCACAATTGTTAAAAATGTCCCAACATTTTCTTTTTTAAAACGGATAGCTCGGCTACCGGCCGTAAGGTACGTACGCCGTAAACAGTAGTAAGGCTGGTATTTTCGGGTTTCCTCAGTGCCAAATTGTGGTACCTTTTTTTAGACACTACGGCCAGTCTATACCAGCAATTTTATTAGCATCCCATTTACCAGTGCATATAGGTTTATTCAGTGTTTTTGCATAATCATAAGCCAAAATTCTGATTTATGTTTATGTTAAACAGTAATTTATTTTTGAAGATTTTAATATATAACTAACTAATAGGTCTTCTTCAGTTTTGTTGAAAACTTGGCCAGCAGAATACAAACTTGAATATTTCGACAGATCATTATAAACTACACCACTTTGTTTTGCCCTTTCTCGTTCTTGTTTATTTTTTATTCTATAAAATAGTGTCGTATGTTTAATTCCATTCGTTGCAGCAGCCGTACGAAGTTTCATGCCACCTTCCACTGCTTGTATGGCATTGTGAATATCATCTTCAGTTACTTCTGCACGATTTCTTTTGTATATACGTAGCATCGCAGTTCCTAAAAATCCACATTTAACATTAATTTTAATTCTTCTTAATGAAGCTTGCAGTAATGGGGCACCTTTGAACAAAGTTTAAAAGTGCCCCATTTCTGTTGTTCAAATGTACCCCGCAACTACAGATTTTAAATTTAGGTAAGTTAAAAATTTAGGGTTAGAATTACGAGGTTAAATATCGAACACATACCTTGGGAAACCCCTGCGAATTGCAGGCTAGCAGCAACACCACCAAATTCCTAATATTTTGCTTGTATTATCCTTACAACCAAAATTACACACAGATACGTTTAAATACCGAAAACCTTACTTTCGCTGTTAAGTTTTGTAAACACAACAACAACCGCTCATGCAACATCACACTATAGTCCAAATTCTACAGGATTGTCAGGGTATCGCTTTAAAATGATAGACACTGGAGGGGCACGAAACGAGAGACGAGTGTAGTTCAATGGTGGCGTGTACATTTTTAAAACAAGCTAAATCATTGTGAGAACTAATTCGAAAGGAACTTTACATTAGACTTCTATAAACGTACTGTTATTGGAATAATGATCTTATGTACCTATTGATATTTTATGATTATATTAGTATAAATGTAGCCAACACCGTATAACAAAAATTACTAATATTGCAGTGCTTATAAGAGGGAAATTTGAATTGTTCAAATCCACCCCACGCATAAAACGTTAAGATAGAGCAAATCTGACACCGGATTCGTGATCAGCATGCAAAATTAACTGCTAATTGATATCCATGTCGACATTTGATGAACTAAAAATTGCATTCCGGTTTTGAGGTCGACTTCCGGTTTCGTTTTTATTAAAAAGTAAAAAGTAAAAGTTTACATAACTTCCGGTGCCAAGCAAAAGTTTTCAGAAAATGGAGACATTGTAACAAAAAACATTGTTTTCGACGAAATATTTCGTGATATTTAATACACTTTTTACTTGCATTATTATTGATGAATGTTATGTATATTCTTGCTTTATATTGTTTGTATTGATCTCTTAATTTTTCTCGCAAAATAAAAATTTCATTTAAAAAACTCGATGTCGAGTTGGTCCGCTAGTTTTTTGTATTATTATTCTTTGAATGGAGTATTATTCATATGTATTGGAAATTTCTATTTAATTTTCATTCTTAACAGGTGAATTTTATTGTGAACCTTAAACCGTATTTCCTAAAATGATTAAATTGTATTACAAATAACCTTAACCTGAATGGACTCGCCCCCATCCCGGCAAAATTCGTCATAAACTTGATCTTTTCCAGAAATCGAGAGCAGGTCTTTCCGGGACTCTCGCCCTACTTGCGTACGAAATTTCAAAAATGGGTCAGTGTGTCAGCGGCACGCCTGATGCAGTTCGGAATTTGGGAAATGGGCCACGGTCGCGGCCTTGGCATATATCCGTTCGTTACGCGCTCCTCCGGTACAATTTGTCGATTTCGAGAAGTTACATTACGGAATGCAGCTTCAAAGGAGATTAGAGACGAGTAACTTGTTTCATTTGAATGATCCGGTTTAATTGAAATGCCTTGCTTGTATTATGGATAAAATTGAATTTAAACATGTCTTTCCGCACGCAAACAGAATATTACAGTTTATGTTTCAAGTCATAGAATTTTATTAAAGTGAATATGACTATTTCTTTTAAAGTTAATTGCACGTCATCGTTTTTGACGTTGACATTTTTGCACGAGTATTCTCCACCTCCTAAGTGCCTTCTTTATTGAGGTTGGCGATAAATATGGCAAATTTCTCTCTGTTCTGGGCTTGATAAATTAATTCATTTTCTCTTGTGTGGGTCCAATTTCTGATTTTTCGTAGCAAAGATTTTCTATGCCCCTTTTACCTTCATTTTTGCCTTCTAATATTACTTGGAGCTGTTCAAATTCTCTATGGCGCATTATGTGTCCTACATATGACGTCTTTCTAATTTTGATAGTATTGACCAGATGAGGGCCCGTATTCATTACTCTCAGTACTTCTTCATTCCTACTTCTGCTGGTCCAGCTTATTCTTAACATTCGGCTGTACATCCTCATTTCAAATGAATTTAATTTGTTGAGGTCATACTGTTTTAATGTCTAGGTCTCACAGCCATATAGTAATAGAGACCACACATAACACTTTAGAGTTCTCAATCTTATTGAGACTGATAGCTTGGGGTTACAGACCATTTTACGCATATTCATGAAACCAGATCTTGCTATTTCAATGCGTCTTCTAATCTTTCAAGTCTTTGAGTGGTCCAGTTGACTATTTAGCACTCTGCCCAGGTATATGAAGCTTTGGGAACTCTGAAGGGTGATAGCATTTATTTGTATGTTAGGTGTAACTTGTTCATGGTGGTTTTTTCAAGATCAAAATATTTAATATCGAAATAATCATCAATTGAATGGATCTTTTCGAATAGCTTTCTTTTCAAATCTTTCTCAACTGCAGTTCTACTGCCAGTAGCTTTACGTATTGAAATTGCAAATTGTAATGTTTTTATTTGACTCAAATTTAAATCGCATCGAATCACATGATTTTACATTAGCAAAAAGAAATTTCTTATTGTGATTTTGATTAAAAATTATACTTGTCGGTTTTTCCCGAATATTTGAGAGCGTCGTGGTACTATTAGTTTTTCCCTTAGAATCATTTAATTTCGATTTTTTAATATTTAACAAGGAAGAGGAAATAACATGTTCTTTTGTTTTTAATTTACATTTATCCAAGATATTTGCAACATTGAGCACAAATTGGGAGGAGTTACATTTGCGTTGTATGCCTCTTCTGACGATTGATAGAGACAATAATCGCATCTTTTATCCGAAATAAATTTTCTTGGCGATGTTGGAACAATAGAAATACCTTTAAAAACCCAAGAAACATAAATCATTACGATCATTTATACGATATCACAAATGATATAAATGATATGACAAAAATACACTTCTCCAAGAAATTAACACACCACTTTGAAATATAAAAAATTTTTATTAACGTTAATAAAAATTTCCATTGTAATGTTGTATTTTGCAAGCCCGTTGTACATGATATTCGTACACTCTATATTTATTGACTGTGTTTTATCGTTATAGTTTTTTTGCAACAAACCAAAAAGAAGCAAAAAATGTACTAATTCTATAAATATACTAATTTCCAAGTGTTCACGAATTTTTATTCGGCTACTGTTTAATTGTTGATTATTGTTAATTGTGT